GCTTACACGATTTTACACGCGGACACGATGATAACGACGATGACAAATATGGGATTGGCGATCGATGCGTTCGAGAATGCTGATGTCGAATACAAAATAGCGTAGTCTCTACGGGTATGCAATGATATATTAAAAACGCGATCAACACCTTCACCGTCGAAGCCAGCGGTCGGCCTCGATTTCGTGAAACGGTTCTCTGAATCGATAAGGTTGAACGGTATCAGTTGTGACGCCTGTGCGTGACTACGTGCGTCTCGAACGAGGCACACGCGATAACTGATACTTTTGATTATAAGCAAATTAATCTCTAGTAGGTTACAATGCGGTCACGACAGTTTTAACGTTAGGTACTTATTGCTTCCACTGCTGAGCGGGAAATGTTCGGAAGAGGGCGGCTAAGGTGTTGACCCGTATCATTCAGGAATAAAATCACCTCTGAGAAAAACAGACAAACAGAGAAAGGTGGTTACACGGTCAGGTAGAAAGGCGGAAAACACGGACCGGTCTGAACCGTTCTAAGGAAAACAACGATTTCCGCGAATCGGTCGCGTACCTCCTAAGGTAAAGCTAAGGAGAGCCTCCCGCGCGACGAATCGCGAGCTCGTAGCACAACCGATCTCACGTTTGAATCCTACAATATTACGATCTCGCGTCTCATCGCGCGAGAGAGATCCCTGGCTCGTTTCATCCGGTGCAACTGTATAAATTATCATAACCGACCCGAAGCAAGCTTTCGAATATTCGCGCGAACGTGAGACTGAAGATATGTTACAAGGTTTCTATCGATGAGGATGAACGACACGCTAAAGAAGCAACGAACACGTCTCTCGCGGACGGAGTGCGCGGGAACGACGATCGATCGTTATAAACCTAAATGGCACGTTTTTATACATTACATACAATCCGAAATAACTCTACGGAGAGAGAGGATGTCAGAAAACCAAGGGCGATATTCGAACAATGAGGGACAGGGCTGGAGGAGAAGGAGAAACCGAACCGCGCACGTGTTGGCGACTCACGTGTGAAAATTCATTAACGATAATACGTGTTCGTAATACTCTAATTCCTCGATGCAGAGCGAAGAGCGTATCGACTTCGAACCCGGTGCAACGATTCAACGAAAGTTTATGACGCTTTGGAACTATTTCCTTTCTTCATCATCTTCTTCATTATCTTCTTCATTATCTTCTTCTTCTTCGTCCTCTTCTTCTTCATGATCAGCATCATTTGTTTCCTCTTTGTCCTTCGTCTCTCAACGTTAAATCACGGTGTAAAAATATTTGTAATCCCTATGACAAAATATGCGATCGCTATGCAGCAGAGTTTCTGCGAGTTCAATGCCGACTGCGACTCGAATCGATCCGTCCAAGAGAACTGAATTCCTCGCATCTATCGTTCAAATCCGTCCATACAGGTCTTTTTTTTTGGCGTTTAGTTTATAGTTCAACGGTCGGGAGAGTTCTATTCTACCGCGTGTATCTGACCAAGTGGAATCAGCAAGGAACTGAGTTGTTCCGTTTCGCGCATCGATTTGGGAATATAAAATCACACACGATTCGAACCCTACCCGCGACGCACCGGACAAGCCCTACTACGAAGCCCTATCAGTTTCCTTCATCGTTCGTCTAAACGCGTCGCCTAACGGCTAGGAATTCTATATAGTCTCGTTCGTGCTGGCAAGTTTGCACCGCTCGCTGCTCATTCTTAATTACAATTTCGCCGTGCCGAAGTTCTCCGAACGCCGGGGGAAGGAAGGGAGGCTCCTTTTAGACCGTAGGTACAGACAGCCTTTGGTTACACAACAAGAAGACTATTATGATATAATATCGCGCATTAGTCGATAAATATATATATATATATATGTATATATATATATGTATACTCGGTCTGATAGCTAATCTAAGAGTCTTTAGTTAATTGGCATTTCACGGCGTATGGCCTCAAGATACGAGTGAGTTTCACGCAGCTGATTTTCCATTGCTTATCCCTCCGGTCGGTTCGACGATCGGTTCGACGATCGGCCCGAAACGTGGCGCCACGTTCGTGTCGGATCGCTGGGAATTAGCCCGTTCGAACGTCCGCGAAACAGTTGATAAATATTCGCTAACTTTGGCTACAAACACCGTCCGGTACACGTACTTACACACGATATTCACGACTACCGATTTCGACTCGGCTCATCTAGTATTCTCGGAAGCTCCGCCAGAGCCTTTCTTCGCCAGACGGATCGTGGGCTGAAGGGAACGCGCACGCTCGTCTTTCCAATCTCAAACTTCTCGTCGGAGAGCCGAAAGCTACTCGTTCCTCGGAACGAGGGATTTTCATTCAGGAATTTCCAAGTTTGCGGAACTGCTGTGTTCCCCACGATCGGTTGACATTCTCCGACGATCGTAGGGTTAACGCTAGAACGATTGGGCTGTCAACGCTTCAGGACCAAAAGAGAACTATCTTCCTGGAGGTGACAAAATTTAAAAGTATTTTCCTCGATACATCCGCAGAGAAGTTACACAGTGAAGTTACAGAAAATGAATCGTCCGGTGAATCCAACATTGCTTTAATAGCGTGCAACAAAAGTCTCGAGAAGCCTCAACAACGCAGCGTTGCATTGGTATTACAAATACGATATTAAACGATACCTGGACGCATTTAATATTGACGAGCCATTTGAAATTTCGGCATTTTCCCTTCGTCTTCAAGTATCATGTAATATTCTATCCGTAACGCTCGTTAAAATACATCTTAATACTCGACGACTGTTCCTCAGTAAGCCCGCAGTACACGTTGCTCGAGTCGCTCGACAGTTCTAGCGTTAAAATCTACAGCGCGACGTCGTCTCCCGTTCAGCTCGTCGACTGACCGCGTCAGACTTCTGGAGAGACCAACCGAGAGGGGTTCGAGATAAGACAATAGGAGTGACGAGGAGAGTATAGGAGCACCTCCCGCGCAAGGGAAGAAACACGTTTAGTAGTTAGGGGCGCGGGCGTCGGTGGCATCACGGTGGGACGTGTCCCGATCGTTGTTCACCCCGGAGAACTCGCAGATGGACGGATTTTACGTGTGGCTCGACTGCGGTCCCCCCATCCTTTGCTGCATCATGGTCAGCAGCAGCTCGGAGTACTGCTGCATCATGTTGACCACCTTACCCTGATCCTGGCCGGCGAGCAGTTCTTGGAAAGTGGCGGTCGCCTCGTTGACGACCACGCTCTCGGTGCCGGTCGCCGACGATCCGTCGACGCTCGCCTGTCCACCGGCGACCACCAGCCGCAACGTGCGCATCGTCTCGTTCACGGAAGACTGGAGGCCGCGCAGCATCGTGTCCCTGTCGATGCTCGCCCCCTCGTCCTCTTTGTCTATCGTTAGACGCTTGTACAGCTGCACCACGTTGTCCGCCGTCCGCGTCAGGTCGTCCGCGATCGTGTTGCACAGCTGCGTCGACACTGCCGAAGAAAAGCGTCTCTTTAGCGATGGGAACCATTGATTCTGGGCTGGGAACGCGTTGTCGGCGTTGTAGGGACTCTTTTGAATCGTTCTCCACTGACAAAGCCGCTCGAGGAGAAGTCTTTGGACACTTCTGCATTCAACTCTTCGCGCACCGTGAAATTCATTTGTAGATACTCTGGCAACGTTTGAGATACAATAAATCATTTATACCATTGAACCCTGTTTTATTACTAATTCCCAAGCCTGTTACCGAACGCCCACGCGTCCAGTCGAGAATGAATTTTGTACAGGTACTGTGCCAAAGTGCCTATCGCGCGAGGCGGCCCTGTCAGCTGAGCTTGCATTCTCGACAACGCGTCGCGGACACTAACGGATGCTGACACGGTCCAAGAATGTGGCATCCGGTCCAAGAAACGAGGGAATCGATGAATGAAAATCGTGCAGCGTGCAGGTTACATCGATTCTAAAATCCGTAATGAGACCATGCTATTGCGATCGTGACCTAGAGACTCGGGTAGTGTCCTAACGATGAGGCAACTATTCGCGAAGTCTATACGGCGAGCTAACAGTCTGTTTCGTAATTGTCTCTGGGAATGCTCGAGCTCTTATGTACAATATTTACACCTTCGCGAATGAACCAGACTCGAGACACGATGGAAGAACGTATATTCTAGATGAACGGTTTCCATTCTGACTGATGAGAATGCGTAAAGCGAGGGAGGGACACTAACGACGCGCGACGATCAAAGATTTCGATGAGACTGTCGCGTCCCCCTCGACAACCGTGAATGCCGGGTGTAGCGTGTTTTATGTACAGCGGCCTACAGACTAGACTCTAGTCTGCGCTAGACGGCCCGCGGCGAGTCGGTTCGAATGGTTTCGTTTGGTCATAGCATGATCACTTACAAATTTTTTCATACACTCAAAGACTTATTATTTTCACAGGACAGCATTCTCAATAGGCGTCTTTAGTTTACCTAATGTTTTGTCCGTGCCTACTGCAAGAGTAAAACTTTCATTAGATGACAGTATCTCGGAAATCGTTCAAATGAAAAAAAAAGAGGAAACAACAATAGTAGTAGGTTAATATCGCCGACGGGAACAATATTATCGTCCGTCGCACCGTTTCCAGGTGTCGTGACGGAACTGACAACTGCAATCTTGCATGCTTACACTTCGGTGATCGTGAACGTGACAATGGAAATGGAACAGAAGAGAGAAACGCGTGAAAGAGACCGCGGATAATTACATTCGGCACTGGCTACATCGATGGCACGGTCGGTATCTTTGACTGGCAGCTCCTGAGGACTGGGATCCAACTGACTCCTGTTGGCCGTCGATATCCTCCCGGCGTTCTGTCCTATCGAATTGCTTCCGTTGCGGCCGTTGGCGATCACAGTCGTCGATCCCGATCTTCTCACTGTCGTGCCGGGTAGACTTAAGCTGGAAAAATCCCGCGATAAACGTCGAACGTTCGTCTCCGATCGATGTCTTTCCGATCAATTTCGAGAACTTACTTCGCAGTAGAATGATCAATACTGATGCTTCGAGGTCTGGGAGGCAGCGCAGGCTTACCCCCGTTCCCATTCGAGGACGTGTCCTCCGAACTCGAATCTTCTTGATTACCCACTTGACTTAGATTTACTGCAAAAGAATAAGAGGAGAGAAGGTTAACCTTTTGAACTATGTCCGAGGTGTTCAATTCTATCCTGTTACGCTACTTTCAATAGCATCGGTGAACAGAGTTTACACCGTTTCACATAGAACAATCAACAAAGGTATCGATAGGGAAACGTAAAAGGTAAGTGCAGAGAGTTAATCGAAAGGGACTAAAAAATGAGTGGTTAGAAACGATGTTGCAAACGAGGTTCGAAAAGGAAGAAGACGGTTGGTAGAGGAGACGAATGACGTACCACTCGAATACGCTCCCTGCATGCCTCTCCTCCTGAGGACCGATGGTAAATTGCTGTTGGAAGAGGAGCTGGTCTTTATTTGATGATTGATCTTATTCTGCGAGCTGATGGTCGGTCTCATCAATCCGCTGATCCTGCTATTCGCGGTTTGGTTGTTCCATCCCCTTCCGGTGCCAGCTCCGACGTCCGATTCGGAATCGCTCTGCGGAATCGTCGATCGAACGGTGAATGGGAGTCCCTCCCTTCCCTCTCCCTCTATCGGTCGCGATCGTATCGCAATAAAATGACTCGCGGACGAGATGAAAAATACCTGATTCAAGACGCCGACGCTGCTGCTTCTGGTTATATGGGAAGAATGATTCTTCGCCGAACCGTGCCGAGACTGGTTTCCGCTATTCGCGTTTCCTAGTCCACTTCGCGCGGATGCGCTCGCATTCTTATTACCTACTTTTCCTGAAACTATTAACGTTCGTTAACGCTGCGCCCAGTCGGCCGGATGAGATTTCGACTAATTGGATCTCTAAGAAAGATTTCGTTGCGCGTGTATGCGCGCCGCGGAAAAGAAGAAAATGATAATCGTTGCTCGCGGCGTATAATAAAAGAGATATCAAACGATCGGATACTTTGAACGTTTATTACAGTGTTTACGGTGATCGCGGGTCGTTCCAAAACAAGCGATTCACGAGGAAAGTTTACGCTCGGACCGTTAAGCCGGCCGAAATCGTTCGATCCCGCGAGTACTCTTTAACGGTACGCGCGCTCCCGAGTTTCGCTTGATTCGTCGGTTTACGTTTATTCGAGTAACAGTATTCCCGTGCCAGTTTAATCGTACCACCGGAAAGAAACACGATCGCCGATCGTATTGTGCGAACGATATATATCATTGCTAGATTTCAGATTTTGTTTCGAGTTTAATGTAAACGCTTCCTCGACGAGGTTCAGCGATTGCTCCTCTCGTTTGCGCACCGTTGCGCCAGCTAATAAAGATGCGCTGGCAACGATCAACGTCGGAGTAATTCCAGCGTGAACCGTGCACCGGACACACCGTGAAATCGATTCGGAACTGGACGCGATAGTTCGTGAACTTTTGGAACGACCCCGAGAACCGCGGCACACGATTAAAGGGTACCTTGTATCGGGCCATGCAGTAACCTATTTGGCGGGCTGACGGAAAGATCACTCAGCGAGCAGGCACGTCGCATGCCACCCCCCTCTTCTTCGCTGTCAAAAACTTTTGACGAGATTCGCCCCCCACTACTGCCAACTGTCGACAACAACACGCACACACATGCACTAAGCTACGGTTCTCTCATAATTTAAAAGTCAATTTTTGTGTATTTGTCTTTTTCTCGGAAATGCTCCCTTCGACCCTGGAAAGACCGAGGTGCCGGGAAATAAGCGACTTACCTGTACCATTTATTCGAACGATGCTTCTCTAACGGCTAAATTACTGTCCTCTTTAAACGCCGAATAAAGTCGAATAAAGACTTTTTGTTTTCCACGAAGTTTTCTTCGTTTACGACTCGCGAAAGAAAATATCTCTCGATTTGTTTCCAGCGTTTCGGAGCGGAATCAATTTTGACTAAATAATTACAGAGAATCTCTTCGATCAGCAAGTAGAGGCTCAGTCCTTAGTCTTTCCAGGGTGAAACTTACCTCGTTCTAATCGTGAATCGAGACAGGCTAAACACATCTCCGAAGTTTGTACAACGAAATGAGAAAAAAAAATGACATGTGATGAGCTGTACACTTGTTGTTCGAGCGTTATCGTGAGCAGCGAGCTTCGATTCATTGACTGCGACAGCGCAAGAACGAAACGGGCTTCTTTCATTTTTCATGCTACCGCGGAAGCGACGTGCGCCAAGTAATGAATTACCGATCGACGAACAGTGGCCACGAAGACGAAAGTCCTCCAGGCACTCAAGCTCTTTCGCGTCACTCAAACCAATCGAGCACTCGAGGCAGCTCAGTGAGACAGTTAGCTAGCGACGACGGGAAATATGCGTCAGTCGAGTCATCGCTAACTGTAGCGCTTTGGTAAATGATTAAAAACAATTAATGTGTACGTTAAATGCAAGAAAATTGTGTGTTCGGTGCCCGGTCGAAGTTGATCGTACTCCTAGACTGAGTAGAACGGAATGTTTCCGATGCGATCTCGAGTGGACAGGTTCGATCAACTTCCACGGAGCAGTTTCGTTAATAAATCGGATCGTAAGAGGATCAATGAAATCGGGAGGGAAGCGGGAATCGCACTACATCGTGAGGACAAAACATGCTGCGTCGGTCGCGCGGTTCATGCCAAAAGAAAATTAACTGAATATTCATAAAGCGATGTACGTGTCTTTATGAATAAAAGCGTTCAAACTGAAAAGTACATGATCGCTGCCGTTCCGAAATAAAACTGGCTAACCAATAACGTCTCGGTTGAACGTACAACGACGCTTAATCGATAACTGTACACACGTTCGTGGACGCGGCGGCGAATAACGAGGATACAAAACAAACGGGGACACTTGGTCGGTTGAATCGTGCTGCTTAAAAATATCGTACCGCTGTACACGACTACTTCATACAACTGCGATCGTACGGATGCGGTATACAGAGAGACAGCTACAGGCTAAACTAAAACGAGGAATCCGACTGTTCGCGGTTCGAGTACCTGCGTAAAGATGCTTGGATGGTATTATAGCCTGATTAATGGTGGGCAAGGTTTTCGTCCACTTCATGTGGCTCTGACACCGCGAAGCTGGCGGCCACATTCTCTTCGGCGAGTTGGTGCAGCTGGACGCGGACGTGGACGAGCCGCTCTCCATCACCGACCTGTCTATCGCGGACGTGTCCGCCCAGTCGCTGTCCTCCCCGCCGGAGTGCAGCCTGATGTCGCGTCTCATCGCGATTCTACTGTCCCGCTCTGCCTCCAGTTTCGCGAAGTTCTCGCTGGCCTCTTGGCAATGCGTCATCCTCAGACATTTCTCTTTCATGAAGTACTGCTCCCGCCTGACCAAGTTCTCGAACTCCCTCGAGAGCAGCTTCACGGTCCCCTCGATCGCCCGCGTGATCCTCAGGTCCACGTCCATGTTGTCGATGCGTTCGTTCGAGCGTAGATTCGCGGTTGTTTGCATTCCGGGCGTCTGTAGGTCGCACGGCACGCCGCCGGGCTCCAGCGAGTCGTACGTTTCTTGCGTGTCCTTCGTCGGGATCTGGTTCTCGTAACAGCAAACGTGCGAGTTGTCCCTTTGATCCTCGCCGGTGTCGCAGTCCCGATGGGGCGGGTCGTTCGCCTCGAAACCGTAATTGTCCATCGGGCCACCGGCCTCGTACAGCATACACTTGTCCGCGCGACGGTTCTGCAGGCTGTAGAACTTGGTCTTGGGGTCCGCGTTGTCGGTGAACTGCAACGAATAGGCCGGCGACTGCAGGAACTGCTCGATCCTCTTCGAGTTCTCCAGAGTACTCGCCGCGTCGGCTTTACCGCCGGAGTCGTTCCGCGCGGAACGGCCGTCTGCTCGCGACTGGCTCCCGTACTCGTCGGACTCCGACTTCGGCCGAGAGGAATTGGTCGGCGCGTCGACGTTGTACTTGTTCCAGGCGGGACGCGCTCTGTTCCGCATGCTCTGCGTGCGAGCGGAGTTGCGCTTCGGCTTCGGCGGCTTGTGGGCTACGAAGTCGTTGAGGAACAGCATCGACTGCGGCTCCTTTGGCACCTTCAAGCTGTTGCTCCTCGGCATAGTGTCCGACTTGGTTCCCATTCTCATTTCCACGTTGGCGTTGTCCTGCTCGTTGAAATTGAACTCGTAGTAGATGCAAGTGGCTGGCCGCACTCCGTCCTCGGGGTAATTGTTCTCGTTCTTCGCTTTGCTTATTCTCGTGTCCTGGAGGGACTTGGATCTGAAGACCGCTCGGCAAGCCGTCGAGTCGTTCACCGGATTCTGAACGTCGTTCGAGGGCTCTAGAACGTTGTTCGGATTGCCGCTGTAGGTTTCCGAGTTCTGCCTCTTCCGCTTGTAATGGGAGTCGAACAGCATCTCCAGGGGCGCGGACTTGACGAGCGAGTCCGAGTCGTCGGTCAGCACGCTCTCGGTGCTTCGGTGGTCCATGTTCTCGTGCAACGGGAACATCTGGTAATCGGACTCGTCGGTTAGGATGCTCTCCTGGCTTCGGCCTGCCTGCATTTTACGGCGGGACAGGAAGAAGCTCGCGCTGGAGTGTCGATCGTTGTCGTAGTGACTGTAATCGAGAATTTCGGCGCTTCCCTTCGAGAACGACTCGACCGACGCGTCCGACAGGATGCTCTCCTGCGACCCGGTGAGTATCCGCTTCGGGAAAGTCTGATAGTTGGAGTAAGCTCTGTGTCCGTCGTGGTGGCTGTCCATGTGAACGTTGATCTGGTAGTCGCTGACGCATCGTCGGGGCGGATTCTTGAAGTCGCCTTCCAACGAGTCGTCGCTGAAGTTCCCGTTCCCGTCGTCGGCGTCGTCCAACGCGTCGTTCAGGGTCTCGATGTTGCGCTCGTTCATCGCCGGCAGGCTCTCGAACGACTTCGCTATGTTCTCCATGTCCTCCTCGTTGTCGTTCAGACCGATAAAATAGCTGCACGACCGCCTCTTCTGGGCGAACCTCGCGAACCGACTGACGTTTTTCTTGCACTGTTCCTTGAGGAGTTTCAGCTCCTCGCACACGGGCGACTCGGGCAACGACTGATTCGGCTTATTCAGTGACAGCTTATACTTTTCAGTTTTTTTCAGGGTCAACGTTAACGGGCGAGTAAGCGACGGTCTCGTCTTGTCGCTTATACACGACGTAGTCTGACTTTTGGACAAGCAGTTCTCGGAGATTGGAGTAGTATCTAGCTTAGGTAGCGCATTCCCCACACCCGACACTTTGTTAATGAGTTGTTGAGGTTTTAACGGAGGCTTTGGGTTCGGTATTGGTTTGCAAGGATTTATCGGTTTCGAGTATTGTGTCTGTTGACCGGGTTTGTTGTTACCTGTGCTCAGCCTGTTCGAACGATGATGCTTCTCCGGTATATGGCTGCTCAAGTCGGATATGCTTTGGCTGGACTTTAACGAGGACTTGTACCCTACCTGGAACGCGAAACACGGACACGTCAGACACCACCCTCGAGTTCGGTGGTCGTCGAAAGACGAGGCTTACGCTTTGCAATTTCCTTCTGGTCTCCTCTATTCTCCTCTGCAATTCTTCGCGTTTCTTCGTCACGTCCGCGTCCCCTCTCGCCTGTTTCGTCGCGTTCACGACTGCCTGGTTGCGAACCTTGTTGTTGCTTGTGCTGTCGGCGCCGGCGCCGCCGCCGCTGAGTCTGGAGAGGAGCATGGGTGGTCGTTTTACGATAAAAAGAAAAACCTAACGGATTTTTTCACCAACGACAATTACCTTCCGTGGAACTGTGAACTGATGCTAGTCGTTTTCGGGCTTCTGTTGGTGGGCTCTTCAGCCCCGCTGAGAGATTCGAATGCGTTCTTGAGGTACTTCTCGCGATGGCTTTGCTTCGCTAGCTGGTCGAAACCTTCCGAGCTGGCTTCTGACAAGATGGACAGGGGATTTCTTTCGGCGCTGGGGGTAGACGCTCCTCCTTCGGAATCCGAGTCGTCTTGGCTACCGGACGCGGTCAGCTCGCTGATCCGACCGCTCTCTCCGTTCCTGGGTTTCTTTTGTCGCCTCTGAGATCTGCGGAGAAATCATTCGATAGTCATTTTCCGTGTACCACGGCACAGATTTACATTCGTCTTTAATAGGAATGGGTCGGAAAGTACGAACCTCCTGAGTTCTTCCACGTCCATCGCGTTTACAGTGAACTGGTTCGATATCGTGTCCTCCGGAGCAGGATAATACATCAGTCTGTGATGGGACTTTTCGGAACCAGTGGTCCCGTTCTCCCCTTCGGAGTAATCCTCCACGTCGCCGTCGTGCTCCGTGCTCTCGTGATCCTACGCGACGCAGGTGCGTTTTAAAATGCGAACAGTGTTCGGGCGTCGCGGGGTTACGAATAGCAATGTTATTCAAGCGTGAGTCTACAGTGTCCGAACGTTTAGGGTTAAAGTGAAACACGAGTGTTGGCGACAAATGTAAGCGGCAAACAAACAGAGAAAAAAAAAAGATAATTTGAATAAAGCGATAATACGTAAAGACGAGTAGTGTGAGCGTCGAATCGTTCGCAGATTCGACGTGTCTATTCGTGTCTCTTGTTGCGCTGTGTGTTACTGTACGGCGGTTCGGTTTGCTGCCGGTGTCAGAGGCGTCAATGAGATGTACCTCGAATTTAAAGCTGCCAAGACTGCTGTCGTCGGTATGATGCCGACTCCTCGACTGACGTGTCAATTCCGTGATATTGCTACCTCTAGTTACCGTCACGTTACCACCGATCACCTACGCCGTCGGTTCAAAAACAAAACAGAATCAACGAAAAGAAATACTCGCGGTTAAATAATTAGTGGATCGTCCGTGCGAGAAAACAAGAACAATAATGGATAGGTGAGAAGAGGACGGACGCGAGCGCGCGGGGTGTGCGAAAGCTGATCGAACGACATGAACGATGAACAACGAGCACAGTCCTCCTGTTCCTCTCTCGTTGCCGGTCTCCCTTGGCTCGCAAGCGCACACCAACAAACACTCACGGGGCACGAACAAACGTTACTGTAATTACTCGGTTACTGGGAATCTGGTTAGTACCTGTTTCGTGTCGTCCGCTAGTTCTCTGTAACTATCCGGACAAGGTTGGAACACATTCTCGTCCTCGTCCTAGAATGAGTTATCCAGGGTTAGCGTGCGCCGTATTAATCGTGCCGAGAGGCTTGTCGCGCGATTATTTGATTAGACGATTAATTAGGCAGTTCTCCTTAGTACAGCTCGACAAACCCGATCGTCGGAGCGACGATTACGCGACGACGTCGGTGGAATTAGTCGCTCGAGGTATCTTTCTATTTTCGAACCTACCCTCTTGATGATGATGGTCTCCCTCCGGTAGTCGCTGCTGCACTTGGTCTCCGTCCCGCTGTCAATCGAGCTGTCCTTGGAGCCGCCTCCGCCGCCGCCGCCGTCGGAGTCGATCGCGCCGCGAGGCGGCGGGAACGGTATCACCTCGTCGCTGTCGTAGACGGACTTGACGGTTATGCCGTCGCCTTGCTGCACCCTCTGCGCCCATCTGCCCTTCGGCAGGTCGACGCCCAAGGACCTGGGGTTCGAGCCGAGGGTCGTCGTCTCGTCGGCGTTCGCGGTGTTTATCTGCTTCTTCGCCCAAAGCGGCAGCTGGCCCACGCTGAACCTATAATCCACGCCCACGCTCTGCGGCGTGGGATTCGCGTTTGGATCTAGGAATTCGGGCGGCGGCGATCCGAAAGTCTCGTTGTCCAACTGCACGTCTATTCCCGTGCCGTTCACCTGGGGCGGCCTCCTGCGCGAATACCATTGGGATTTAGCGTCCGCGGAGATCGCATTCTCGTCTATTCGAGATCGACTTACTTTCCAGCTCGCATCGCCTGCTGAGCGAGGCGGGCCTGCATGGTCACCACCATGTCGCGAGGAACGCGCCACACGAATATGCAGCCGTCCCCGCTGGCGGACACGAGGTTCCGACAGTCCGGGCTGAAGCGCAGTCCGGTCACCAGCTCCGAATGGCCGAGCATGGTCGCCATGCACTCGCCGCTATAATAATCGTACACGCACAACGTCTTATCTGTACACGAGGTAGCTACGTAGATTCCCGATGCATCTGGAACGCGAAGCGTGCGGAATGGAGATCCCAAGAGTGTCCTGGCGCGTCGACACGCGCGAATCTGTGATCTGTTCAACGAGACGCGATCGAGGAGAACATAATCTGCGGTAGCTAACGTAGGCGCCACTCTAATAACCGGACTGTACGTTTCGATTACGTTCCGAAGCGTTCGAATTTGCATAAAGTTCCGCAGTCTGGTAATCTCACGTGCCGATCGGTCGCCGTGCTTGTCAGGGGAATGTTTTTACCCCGTCTCGTCGAACAATCCAGTTTCACGCTGCAGTCTGGCAACCTGCTTCTTACCTAGGACGACTTTGATAAGGGACCCGTCCTCCCCGACGGATCCCTTGAAGGTTTTGCTGTGCTTGCCGGTGGCCACGTTGTAAACCCTTATGTTCCTATCTTGGCAGGCGGTTAGAACGTGCTTTTGCCCGGAATCGACCTCCATGTCGTACAGTGTGGTCTTTCCCTGAGCGTTGTGGCCCCTGGCGAACTGAGGCATACCGCCCGGCGTCTGAAACCAGCGAATCGTTCGATTCAGACGACGCGTCCCGCGAGAGTCCCCGGTCACCCGAGAAACGGAGGCACGCTCACCGATTGCAGCTGTCTAAAAATAATACTCTTATCGGCGCCGCAGGACACCATCTGTATCTGATTGCTCTGGCTGCTCTGATTGAAGAACCTGACGGCGGTAATGGAAGAACTGTGGTCGTCGAGCGTCTGCGAGAAGTTGTAGCCCTGGTCGACGCTGAACACGTGTATCAGCCGGTCCCTGGAGGCGCTGGCCAGCAGTCTGGGCGGGTCCGCGGAGTACCGGGAGAACTTGGAGTACTCGAGGCAGAGCACCTCCGCGTCGTGCGCCTCTATCAGATAGAGCTCCTCCAGGGAGGACAGGTCGTGGATCCTGATGTTGCCGGACCGATCCCCGGACGCCAGGTGTTTGCCGTCCGGGCTGACTCTGATCGAGCGGACGCCGTTGCGGCCGTCGTACGAGGCGTCGCTCTTCTCCGTGGAGCCGGCCGCGGCCAGGTCCAAGTCTTTCAGGTAGGTCAGCTCGGGGTCGATGTAGAGGACCTTGAGCAGCTCGTTGCTGTAGATGTTCCGCTTGTAGAGCGTGTCGCTCGGCGACACGTCCTTCTCCAGGTTCCACACGCGAATGGTGTCGTCGCTGGAGCAGGTGATGAAGCTGCCGGCCGGCATCGCGTCGACGGACTCCGAGCCCGTCGGGTACATCTCGACGCCCCAGATGCACGCCGAGTGGTAGAGGAACGAGTGCGACTTGCCGACCCGCCTGATGTCCCGCACGTCCCACACGTAGATGCTGTGGTCGTTGTAGACGCAGGTCAGCTTGTTGTTGCGCTCGTCGAACGCGAGCGCGATGGCGTCCGGGTACCTCGCGTTCGCGGGATGCTGGGACATGTGGCTGGAAAACGATCGTCGTTACGGACACGCCTCTGGGGACGGGTAACCCGACGGAGACGAAGGACTCTGGTACCTGATGGACAAGCCCTGCGCGACGTCCACGCCCAGGTAATGCGTCCTCGGCAGCGTGGTGACGAACTGCAGACTGCTGGGGCTGAAACACCTGACGATCCCCTCCGCGCATCCGATGAAGATGTACTTGTCGCCTACCGCCATGCAGTTCGCGCTACTCGTCTGGAAAGAGATGTTTCCCCGAGGTAGAGGATAGTCGTGCTCTAGGCGCGTACGTTCGATTCTACGGAAGACTCCCGGAACGCGTGGAAATCAGGGTGTTCCGCGATCACGCGAGCCGGTCGCCTTTAAACGGCGCCTAGGGAACCGCCGCAGAGTACTCACGCGAAGCTCCACCCATTTATCCAGCAGCCTCCTGTTGTTGAACTCGCAGAGGAGGCCAGTTTTGGTGATCGCGTACGTGGAATCCGCCATTTCCCCGCGGCCGCAGGCCACGTCCACGAAATCGTTGTTCCTCTGCTCGCCCAGTATGGCGGACCGACCCATCAAAGGCACAGGTTCCTTGTACTGCGCAAGAAAATTCCGTCTATCAGCATCTCCGCTTCGCGGTCGTGGCTCGCCGTCGTCTCCGTTGCTCTCGCGACCCTCTTCTCGCCGCTTCCTCGAGCTGTTCGACGCTGCTCGGAGCGAGGAACAGCCGAGAAACGTGTCGCACGCGATCGGAAGCCGCGCGAGAGCGAGCGGATCGGTCGGCCGAATCGGAGGAATTACCTTGGCGCTGCGCGAGTACTCGAGATACCAAAACTTGACGTGCCTGTTGCCCACGGTAACAAAGTAATTGCCGTTTTCCGCGAAGCAGACGGCCTTCACTTTGCTCGAGACTTTGTTCGACGCCACCTTAACATTGTTCCTCCAGTCCCAGACGTTGACGATCATATCGTGCTGAGAGCCCACGGACACCACGTACTTGTTGCTCGGAGAAAACGCCTTGGGAAGAGAAAAGCGGGAAAAAAAGCAGAGATACAGAGACACGCACAGAATACGCCGACATTTATCTCGTTAGCGGCCCATTCTCCTTCTCTGTTCCGTCGCGTGTTATCTTCGCGCGGAACACATCGCGTTTCCTCGTTCCGAGGGGGCTGCTCTCGCGAGTCGGGCCGCGGCGAACGCGGCGGGCACAATGGCGAGTCGGCCGCCGTGTAAAAAACCGAATAAAAGCGTATAGAAACGGAAACGGAACACGCCAGGCTCCCGCGTCGCGCGTTTCTCCGCGCGGATCCTCGCGGAAGTAACGCTTCGCGGAAACGCGAGTCGCATCGATCGAAGGGAAGTCGACGCGAGAATTCGACGTTCCGTTGCGGTGAAAGCTTCGCAACGAGACGCTCTTCGAACGCTTCGATCTCTGCCAAGATCGATTTCAAGTTCCGTTGGAAATTCAACTACCTTCGCGTGTATTTCTTACTTGTAATCCTTAATTACGTTTCACGAACGATTTCCTCGAATCAACTGAACAGTGATGGGTTAACATACGCTCCGCGTATCGTCCGTGGGATCGCGGTACTGTCCTAAATTCGCGAAAAGGCGAGCTCGTGGAAGGGCCGAGTGCGCGAAGCTTCGAGGAAAGATCATCGCACTCCGGCAGTATCGAGGGAACGCGGTAGAACAATAAACGGGGTACCGTTGCGGGTACAGCGGGCACATCGTTTCGTATTCACGCGGTTCGGCTTGTCGTCGACGCCTTGTAAAACAGAGGGCCGCTCGCGCGTACGCGGATAACCGTGACGCGAATACCGAGACGATCGTTCCGCGATGGAACTCGGCGTCGCCTCCGCGGTTTCGTCAGTGGAGCGGAATACAGCGAAATTCCGATAATCTGACACTCGCTGCATCTGCCGCTCTTCTACCCGGAAATCGAAGAAGCGAATTGACGAATGTTCGTGCCTTCCGAAATAGTTTACGATCGATCGGAAACGATTAAGGGAACCGACGTAAGGAGTCTATTTAAAAAGTCGCTACCCAAATCGGGATGTTTTCAATTATTTATCCAAGAACAATTGAGAAGCAATGAAATTGTACAGTCGAGTCTAACTGTACGCGAGACTGTAAATGGTTAAGAAGCTCGCGAGAAGCGAACGAAAGCACAAGGTCCGACGTTCGCTGGAAAAAAATAGTTACCGTTGCACGGCTAAAGTGTTTCGAAACGCGCGAGCGTTCCGCGCGAGAGCGAAGAAAGGGAATTACGCTGTATTGTTCGCAGCCGCTGAAACTTCACGGCCACGGAAACGGCTCGAACCCGGCGCGACGACTTCTCGCGAGCGTGCCGTACAGATAAAAGCCGCGCAGCCCTTAATTAACATGCGAGCGGCAGTGGCGTAACCGCCGTAAGCTTGTCACGGTGATGCGAGTGCACCGGGCGCGGCCCTTTTTTCCATCATAAACATTCACCGTCGCTCGTGTCCCAGGAATGCGGCTGGAAGAGTCGTCGACGCGTTCTCGCGTGTGATTCCGCGAGGAAATTCGCCAAAGTCTTGCGAACGAAAATCCTCGGAAAGCAAAGAACGCGTTGGAAATGAAAACGCGCGGCCGGTTAATATCGAATCCGATGGAAGCGTTTTTCGAGAGATTGAAGCAGCGAGCGTTCAAGCCTCGATAAACTCGTTAAGGGTAATGAGTCGAGAAGTATGCGGGGCCCGAGTTAGAAACCGCGCAGCCGATGCGCGGTGCGCTGTAAATCAAAATCTCAACCTAGTTGTTATCTCGGGCGTGCCTATCTTTTCAAGGGAACGCTGTTCCTGTCATTTTCGCGGGAAACGCGTGTATACGCCAATTTCCCGGCAACCGTGTACAGATCGCCGAGCGAAACATGGTTTTTCGGGCTAGGTTGCTTTCTCCGTTGTTCAACCAGGAATGACTGGTTCTTCGAACGAACCGCTTGCTTTGCATTTCTTTCGCAACTGTAAACACAAGACCGAGTATTGCTTCGATTTGTTTTAGAAGGGAGTGGTTTCTGAATATTCGATGCCTGTGGAGAGTTGATATAATAATACGATCCCTAACGTACGAAGAATAGCATAATCCATACAATGTTAATTCGGTGATAGCTAATTTCGTAATATTATGTTCGAGAAGCGTTGCCACTGAAAATCCGATGTTTCGGATCTCGACAGGTAAACCGTTCGTTGCTAATGGCTGTAATTGTTAATTGAAAGGAAAGCAGCGTTCTACTCACCACGCAGTTGATGCCATACTTGTGCCCGGAAAACTCGGCGATCTGCACAGCATTGTACGGATCGGAGATGTCCCAGACACGAACGTTCGGCATGTGACCGCATTCGCCGGTCGCCAGCAGTCTACCGTCGCCGGCGAGCGCCAGGGAGGTCACCGTTTTGCGACAAGCGTTCAACACGTGGGCCTGGGTGTTCTTCCGCGGGTTGAACAACACCACGGTGCAGCTGTAACAATCCACAATTTCACGATTAGACCGCTCTTCTCGAGGCAAATGTACGCGAACGAAATCCTTCGATTTATAGCCTGACCTTTATTCCTTGAACTTGGCACTTCACAGTTTCCACGAAATATCGACACTCGATTCTTTTGCTCGTGATTCGTTTCTCGCGATGTTCGTGGGAGGAGCTAGGACTGAGGGGAGGAGTCGAGCAGAAGCGACAAGATAAACGGCGATAAGGAACGTTCGACCCGTTCGATAAGCATCGCGTCGATAATGCGTCAGGTAAAGATACTTCTCGATCGAGGAAGGAAATATCAACCTAATCTTCATTTGAACTTGAATTGTTTTCAAGTTAACAACTAAGGGTCCCTCTTTACATAAGCATAGAACAATAATGTAGGGTTAACAAAAATGTTCAATGCGATACGGAAAATCGATCGATTCTAGAGCAATGACAGCTGTTCGAGGCGAAGGGGCGGTACCAAACCGACCCAATAGGTTCTAAGCTCATCGCGCATGCGGGCTACAAGGTTCACCCGCACTCTGCGGGACTATACGCTTTCTCCGAGGTTGTTTCGTGTCACGGTGGCCGAGCACGGGTACCGGAAGAGTACTCGCGACACGATTCCGTAACGGGTACTTCGACCGGAGACGATAGAGGACAAGAAGACAGCCGTAACGAATCGTCGCGATGTTCCAGCGGCGAAAGAAGAAGTAAAAAATCGTCGAGACGTAAATCGGCGCGCGTCGGGGCGAAGATTGCAACCGGGTTGCCCGCGATAATCGCAGCGTTGCGTTACGTCGCCGATGGAAAAACCCGCGAGACGCTGACGATCGATTTTGCCTGCCCGTTTTCGCAACTCCCGTGACTCGAGCGTCTCGACACTCTTCGATCTCCTTTCTGTCGGTTCACCTCTGTTCCACGCCTCATCGATGCGAAACGATCACTCGCGAAGTCACGAAACGCGTAGGTTTACGGACATTTATTATAGAATTCACTCCGGTGTTCCTACAGAAATTGATGTTCACTTCGATCTTGGAAATTAGAGGTTTCGAAATGGACGATTAGGGTAATGTATTCATGCAATCGGGTGAATAAACGCGAACGCGTTGCAAATAATGATTGTGTGATTCGGTATGCGTCGAATCGACGCGTTCCGCGAATTCAGCGCTGAATTACATTGATCGGTATAGGTGCATGGTGCTAATAGAGTAACAGTTTCAATCACTCCTGCATACGTAGTTGGAACGTTTCGAAAATCCTGAAGTTCCTTCGAATATCATCGCAGTTGCGTTTCCGTTTCACGGCACAAGCTTCGCAGAAAGTTGAAAAGGTACGAAACTACGGGCGCAATCGGCGAACGATGATTCTTATCTAGCCGTAATAGCAATTACCCCGGAGAAACGAAGAGTGGAGAGGCCACGAGCGGTTCACGGATCGGATATTAATTATCGGCCATAAAGGCGATCGCCGTGACACGCGAGATCGAAGTTTCTTTCGAGGAGGAACGAACGATAACTCAATCTTCGATCGCCGGTGAAAGCGAGCCGAGTAATTGCAGGCGCAACCTCCCCTCGGCCCCGCGATTCCAGATCGACGGAATTTCGGCGGGACGACGAGCCGCCGGTCGGCCGAGCAATTAATCGAACCAGATACGCGTTCTGACAACGCGAACGGTTTAATAATGATCTGCTTATAGCAATTACGGCCGGGGGGCGCAGCGAGAACCGGTTCGCGGATACAGCATTGACTGCTTTTAATTAGCGCCGCTTCCCTCGAACGGTAGTTAACGAAGGGACAACGGTTATAATTAGAATCGCTAAATAAGATTGCGAGAGAAGATGGGCAACACGTTTTCTTTCGTAGGAACTAGGAATAAAATGACACGGGACGTTCGATTAGAATAAACCGGACAACTAACCTGGCGGAGGACTTAATGCGCCGACGTCGCTTCTTGATTTTCGATTTGAAACAAGCATTGGATCGAGGGGTCGTTTTATTTTCGTGTAAGGTGAGCAGAGATGGCTCGCTTTTTAAAAAGAACTATCATATAAGTATCATCTCAGCCAGAATCAGCCAATCGATAATCCAGATTCAGTGGACGAGGTTGAAACGACCAAAAATTGTTAGTACGAACAAGCTCTTCCACGCGAATCCTAAGCGATTGAATCGAAACAACGACCGATTGTCCGACGAGGACTCCGCAAATAGAGGAGCAATCGGACGCGTCTGCAAACGTGCCGACAGCTCGACGGTGCAGCGCAGCTGGAAGAGTCGAGGATGCTCCGAACAGAGGGGAAGTTTGCGCCGGCCTTATCCGAAGGTTGCGCAACAGTTGCATCAGGTTTGGTAGCCTCGGCTTCGGGTTGCCCGCATTTCCGTGCACGCGCTCAGCGCCGGGACGAATCAATTAACCGGGTAATTAAACTGCTCGCTTCCAGGTGAGTACCACTGAGGCGAGGGACACGGGATCGGAGGCACGCGGTGTTCTGCGGTGGCGGGAAACGCGAAACGCGAAACGCGAAACGCAAAACGTGGCTCGATTTATCCGTCGCCGTCCGGCGAAACCGCAACGTGTCAATAAACTCGGTGTCCCGAGGATCGGCATTTCTTTCGCGTGCTGCCATTTGTCCCGATATTACGCCAGCAAAACACCGACGCTACGTAATCCGGCCGCAACGAGGTCGCTCGACTTAGCGCCCGTTAGATAACCGGACTCGCTGGTTCGAACGTTCGCCGGCCGCCTCGTTCGAACCTGTCACACTCGCCGGTGACGAATCGGTTCGTCGTTGGGAAACGCGTGGAACACCGTGACACCCCGGGAATCGCGATTATTCGCGAACGCGTCGCGCCGATTCCCATTTGCTCCGGGTGCTCGCGATTCGCGACGGTCTTTGTCGCTCGCGCAATCACCGGGAGCCGTGAAAGAAGGGAATCATTCGATGAGCAAGCGAATTATCGAATCCAATCCCGGGAATCTCTGTGAAATCGAGTGCGCCGATAACGGACGAAGCTCGACGACGGACGGGGAAAAAACGAAAATAGCGCGGCGCCGCGGCGAACGCCAGCCGGAAGTCGCCGCGCGTCTCGTTTAAAAACGGCCGGCGCGAGAGGTAGCGGCAAAGGTCGCCCGAAGGTCGGCCGAACGTCTCTAACGCGTTTCCAGCCAACTCCGCGGCGGGGTGAGGACGCGGTGGCCTGGTATTCGAGCGAGATACGTCGAGCACCGGCGTAAAAGAGTCTAGACCGCGGCGAGACCCGAACGATCGAGTCGCTCCGCGCGAACAAAAGACATCCGCCGTTTCGACGGCTGGCTCTCGACATTCCGCTCGATCGGCGAGAAGACGGCGCGGCGGAGAGAGCCGCGCGGATGCTGGATACGCTTCGGAGTTTATTGACTCGGGCCCCGCTCGACCGTGCAAACACGGTCAAACGGAATAAATCTAGACGCGCGACAGACTACGGGGACGCAGCTTCGCGGAACGATTAACGGCCCCCGACCGACCCGTTCTCGATGCGCGCGACACTCGGCCGCGGTATTTTTATATCTTCCACTTCCGGGAAGATCGTTCGCGGATCGATACACCGATACGCGCGACTTCCTTTACGCGGAGGCGCGACGCGGCTCGATCGAGGACGCTTCGCTGATCCATCCTCGAGTGGAACGAACCAACCCGCGGTTCCGCGGAAGCGGATCGTCGTTCGGTTCTCGTCTTCTCGAAGGGGTCGTACGTTTCTATTTGAAACTGTAACGCGTGTATGCCAGTCGACGAGATATTTTTCAATTTCCTTTGTGTCTTAGAAATACGGGTCGGCACTTAATGAAATATTGTAATTCTGTAGATTGCTAGCAGATCCGTCGCAAGCATGATCCAAGGTTAATAGTAGCGTTCGTAGGTTCCTAGAAGCGATCCCATCCAGTTGGTTCGCTCGCGTTCTCGAATGGTACGCTCCCGGGTACGAGCCGGCGGACTGCCATTTACGTCCGTGCTTCCGGTAGCTTCGCTTTCGGTCGGCCAAAAGAGAATATTCGAATCGTCGGAGGTTCAACGCCTTATCGGCCGGTCTCGTCGGCGCAACGCGAGCTCCGAGCACCGGGGAGTAACGGGGAATCTGGTAAACGGGTGATAAGATCGCGAGCAGACGCCGCCCATCGCCCCCCGATCTCTGCAATTTCCGGCGTTCGAGCGACGCCCACGGTTCAATTCGGGAAATCAGGAAATCGTGGCCGGTGATTAAGCCATTCGCAAACTGCAGCGGTTCAACTCGTGCGATCCGAATTGAAACGTCGGACAGGAACGCGCTGCAAACTGCTCGAACGTGAGGCGGCTCGATCGCGATCGTTCCGGTCGCTATTGAACGACCTATCGTTGTTGCCTTTTATTATGCTATTACCGGCGACTATCGTCCGTGGAATCTTACTAATTCCAGGGTTCTTTCGCGTAAGTTCCGAGTCTGAAAGTATCGGCGAGCTCGGGAACGAAAAAGTCGAAAATGAAAAAATTCTCCGTTCGATCGCAACGACCGGTGAGGCTGTGACGTACCGGTACGTCGTCCATCGCGAACGGGTCAACGAACGCGCGCCGGTATCGGTCGAGCGGTGGTGCACACGTGCGTTCCAGCTGCGTGCGCGGCGAACACGCGCGACAGCCATTGTTACGCCAGCCGCCGATCCTTTTCATCGAATCGGGAAGGGAAACGTGGACTGCGGCGGACGCCGACCAAGTTTCCCTACGGTTTAGAGACACTGCGGTCCCGAGAACAGTAAAATGCTTGGGTCGGGAAATCATCCACCGATGACAATGAACTCGGAAAGTCATCGGGTGCGTCCAAATCACCGTAGCGTTTGACAGTTGGGCAACCGACTTTATATCAGATTTCCTAGCAGATGTTTTTTGCAACATAACGTGCCTTCTCATCAACGAATCTGCGAGTCGTTAGTTCGAAGTGCGGTAACATTCTAACGGTTACACGTAACCAATCGAGACCGAACGAGACACGTA